GTTTCTGCAGATCGCAAAATAGTTTCTGAAGATCGCGAAATCGTTTCTGCAGATCGCAAAATAGTTTCTGAAGATCGCGAAATCGTTTCTGAAGAGCGTAGATGAGTTTCTGAAGATCGCGAAATAGTTTCTGAAGAGCGTAGATTAGTTTCTGAAGAATAGTTTCTGAAGAGTAGTTGCGGAAGAAAAGTTTCAGAAGAATGGAGAGTTGCGGAATAGGACTTTGTTCGTGGAGGAGTGGAGCAGCTTCCAAGGCTCCCAGTTCTCGTCCTGGTGGCTTCCTTACTTACATTTACTTATGAGTACCTGAAGACTTCTTGCCTTTTTCCATCCTTTTTCCCCGTCTTTAAAGCCTGAAGCATATGAAAGTCTGCCCGCCTTGGGGAGCCACCGCGGCGCCTCTCGCCTTTCTCGCGGCCGGATGGGTAGCAGCATGTTTGCAGAGCTCCAACTCATTCGTTAAGAAAACTTGGACGAGCCTTCACTTGCAACTCTCTCCTTGCCAAGGACTGTAAGGCCTGTGCATTGTTTACTGTCAGTGCAAGCAAGATCTGCAAAGACCAGGTTCTCTCCTAGCAGGTGCCGAATGTGCCTCCTGGATAAGCTTCAAAGCGGTCTCGCAGCCTGCCCAGAAATTGGTGTTTGCATGTGTTTGCCGCGTTTGCCCTCTCGATCTTGCAGGATCTACTCGACTGCTGGAGAAATCCTAGGGTTGTTAGATCTGATTGGACGTATGACGTGAGTGGGAAAATACTGGGAAGTTCAATGGAGTCTAGTCAGTCCTTTCCCTGGCTGAGACATTTGCAAACAATGTCAGAGTGCGTTCTCTTTTAGAGCCTTTGGTCATGCATGATCTCCAAAAAACTTAGACTCCCGCGCATGGCGCTGGCGTTCAAGACGCTCCAAACTCCTGGCCGGCCAAAATCCCTTTGGTTCAGTTCGTGGTGGGACTTTCCTGTTCGTGCAACCCCCTACTACAAGACGTCCATTCGGGACCAATGCGCAAGGTGTGCGACAGGGATTCACGTAGACGCCGCAAAGAGAGTGGCTCCTCAGAGTGGAAACTCGTCACCACACGTGAAGCTGATTCAAAGACATGAAATTGGTATGAGAGCAGATTCCTAGAGCCTATGGTCAGTGACATTTGCACCCCTTGACTTTCAAAACTGGACTGCTTACCCTGCTATATAGCCATAAGGAATGAGTCACTCCTTGCTGTCACCCTCCGGCGAGCTGAATCTTCGTGCAGAACTGAAGCTAAATCGGCTAGAACAAGTTCCAAAAAGCTACTTGTGAGTCCTCAGGGCCCGCATCAGCGGAGGGCATCTGACAGCATGGCCGTGTGAGTCACTGAATGCAGCATGAACTCTTTTGCCCCCAGCAGATAAAGCCAATCTGCTCCGGCAGCGCTGAAGATATGCGGAATTCAATCAATGAATTCAATCAAGTTAGATAAGGCGGATGACTTGTGGCGAGCGCACCCCCTTTGACTGACGACTCTGGAGATTGTGCCAATCCTTCTTGGCAAATACCCCTTTTCGAAGCACAAACGTGTTTCAACCAAAAATCAGTATTGTAAAACTGCACGGCCCACCTTGCACAAGGCTATTCCATCAAAGACGCCATGTGACTTCTGAGCATGCTATATTGCTCCAAGTTGTCAAATTGGAAGTTCCACAGTGACACTTGGAGCTTGGTGCTCTGGCTGGTACGTTCTCTGTTGCGACCGGAGCGCAGCTTAGCAGAACAACCTTGCTCTAGTGACTCCAGTGTAGTCCATACCATCTCTTCCGAGTGCGTTTCAAACCGCTGAGTTTGGTTTGAAGATCCTGCAAATATACGCTAGAAATCTGTGCCAGGTTCAAGAAAGTCTCCGTATGTTGAGTCAGCGTGTATTTGGATGTATTTGGGTCAGTTGCGTTTGTATCCGTTGACCTATGGCTGAGGTTGAGGCTATCCGAATGGCTGCAGCTATCAGATCCCAGCGACCAAACGCAGCAAACACCAGTCCAAAGATGTCCAAAGATGTCCAAAGACCTCTCGCGCCTTTGCTCGACCATGCAGTGGCCAAATCCTCTAGACACACCCCACACAAGCATGAAACAGCATTGGCCCGGTACAAAGCGGTAACCAACAACCTGAGTAACCTCTATTTGATGTTGATTCTTCGCCACGCCGCTATCCCCAACGAAGCATCTTTGGCTTCAACCTGGGCTCTACTCCAATCGCAAAAGCATATAAATATGGTACAATCAAAGAAATCACTACAGCCCAGGTAGAGTACTATGCACAAAAGCTAAGCATGGCAGACCCATTTGGACCCTGAAACCCCAAGATCAAGCCCATTGAGCCTGAACCACCCGTTTCATCCCTTTTCAGGGAAGCCTATCAATTCGCTTTGCATCGCTTTGCCAGCCCGCGTAGGCTCACCGGTTTGGCAGTGCAAGCAAAGAGGACAACCTCTTACATTGGATGCCTCACAAAATCCCGGAGTGGTCAACACTAAGACAAGCACGTGCTCAATTGATCACGTGACCTGCTGGCACTTTGCTCGAAAGATCCATAGTCCTATGGTCTTCTACCTCAGGTCAAAACCTAGCTGTACAGCCTTGCAACCTACCGGCCTAGCTGTCCCCTGCTCCTTGCCTGCTGCTTTGGAGCTCTCCAGCGTTTCAGAGCAAACTGAGCTGCAGCAATGCGAAGCTCCAGATCACGCTTCCTTTCAGAGTTGTTTCAAGCAGTCGAACAGGCAAGCATATACGTTCGCAGTTGTTTTTGTTGTATGTCTATTTTGTCGCACAAAAACTCACACACCGAGCCTACTCTCCTTTTCAAGCTCAACGATTCTCTCAGCTTTATAAATCTCTGCAGAACTCAAAAGCATCCAAGCCAAGATTCTCATCTTGTAGTTGCAAATTGTGGACTTCCAAAACCTGGCTCAACATGCTGACACTTACATGGCAATCCGTCTGAACAGTTGTTGCATGCTGTTGCCTCCGCTTCCGAATGCAGCGCTGCCAGCTGCCGAGATTGGGCTGCAAGACTGCGTTGCATGGCTAAGGCCTCCAAAAGCTGACGCAGCGACTCAACATTGGTAAGACGTTCTTGTGCAAAGCTCCATCACTTGCGGGTAAGTGACTTTCAGCCGCTCCAAAAACGCAATTTCCAGTTGGTCGGGCAACACAACAAAAAAAGCATCGTGCGGATCGTGCGAGAAATAGCGCATACACTGTACACTTAGCATTGCAAACCCTTTTGTTGATGCTGGGAAGGACTGTCTCCTTCCTCTTTCTGCAAAACAATGACATGAAGCACTTGAACTTGAAGGGGAAGCAATTTTTGCAACTGTCCAATCCATGTTTTTGTTTCTTTTGTGTCTTTTTTGGATCGGTTTCTTTCGTTCGACATCTTAGTCTCCATTCAAAATGTGTACTATATGTAGTCTGTTTTCACTTACAGTGCTCTATCCCACAGTAATCTATAGCCATGGCAGCCATGGTCAGGACCGTGAGCACTTACGTAATATGTTATCATTGCATTTCCCCAAATATGTAATGGTTCTTTCAACATGCCTTGCAATGGGGTTGAACTATGGTAAACTAAAAGCAAAGAGAAACTCGAAAGGAACATGTGTTGTTTTCACACGTTTGCGTTCTCTGTTTGGCACCCTATATAGTGCAAGTTATTCTACTTGGCAGCCCACGCACAGCGGTGTCTCCTTTGACAAGCCTCTCTAAAACTCTAAAATCTGAATTTTCAGAACAGGCATGCCTTCAATCAGCGCAAACAATTATTGAAACGAATGATGTGTTTGTCTGCCGGTTGGTTGGTTGGTTGGTTGGTTGGTTGGTT